AGCCGAGCGGGCGAGCGGAGCTGCGGGGAGCGCGGGCGAAGGGCGGCAGGAGGGAGGGCGCGCGGGAGGCGGCCCCTCCTCGGCGAGCCATGCGTGCCACGGGCAGCTGAGGAGCCGCCGGGCGCCGCTGCCAAGTCCCCGCTCCGCTTTTGTCTTGCCCTCCAGTGAATGGGAAGATGGAGATGGATGTTGAGGGAGTTTCTCCGCGCCCGGAGCCCATCCCCCGCTCCCAGGGGGCTGGCGGAGCCTGCCAGGCGCCGCCACAGCCGCCCCAGCCCCAGCCCCAGCCCCAGCCGCAGCCGCAGCAGCAGCAGCTGGCTCAGGATGAAGTGCCCGGCGAGAGTGCAGGCGCGGAGGACAGCGACGATCCCGAGGCGAGACCCAACAGCGAGAAAGGAGAGAGCAAGGTAGGTCCACAGTGTTGGAGCTGTGACACCTTTTGAACAAAACCGAGGATCTCTAGTAGTGGCTGTCACTTTAACCCCTCCGCTTCCCCCACCCCCTTCCCTCGTTTGTGTGGTGGTGGGGGTTGCAGATGTGGGGAAGGCGTGCGATTGAGGGGAGTCGATGGGAGAGAGTGACTTTCCGAACTGGAAGGCGTGTGCAGGAGTCTGTCCTGGTTTCCGTATTCAGAGGTGTGTGCAGAGAAAAGTCTTCTGGTACATGCGATGTGATGCCCAGGGCAGAGCACAGCACCTCGGGAGAGCCGTGTTGAGAGACCTTTGCTTGCCCACACAGTATAACCAAGGCTTATTTAGATGATGTAGGTCAAGGGGAAGCGTGTCTTCAGGAGCTGCCAAGTGGCTTCCGAGACTCCTTGGAGGGAGGTGACATCAACCTTAAGATGGCAACAATGGGAGCAAAGTTTGGCTCATTTGCAGAATGGAGAGCGCTGCCTAACTCGAGGCAGCTCTAAACTCGAGGTCCTCCTGCTCAGCCGGCACCCTCCGAGCTAGGAGGGCAGGGACCAGGTGCCTGGAAGCAGATGAGCCCTGGAAATCTTTCGCAGCCCTGCTGTGTCATTGTAGACCAGGGGATAGCTACTTCTTACTGTGGAGAGGGGAGTTCTTCAGGTAATTGGATTCCAGTAAGAAATTGCTCAAATGCCATCATTCTCTGGTGCTGATGTTTCTTCTGTTGAGAAAATTGTAAAGTAAAGGAAACTGCATAGAAAATACTGCCTTGGTAATATTATTAGAGTGTATTTATAACAGCTTGGTCTCTGAGCATAGTCTTTTCCCATTCACGCCCGGAGTTCCGTTTTGTGGAAGCTAGCGTTGTTTAGTTGTATCTGTGTAAAGTGTACACATGCATTTGTTAATACGTTTTGAAACTGACTGCTAATGTTGGGAAAAAGTTGGTGTGACGAATCAGGATACCTGAACCCACGAAGGGTCAGTCAGTATACTTTGTCACTTTTGATCGCTTAGAAATGTGCAAGAAAATAGCTACTTCGCCTGGTTAGAGGAGAATTGCATGTCATGAGTGCTCCTTCTAGGAGTTGCCTCGGTTTCTGTTGGACCTTCCCGAAGGTCCTAGTGGATTAAACAAATATCTGAAACACGTTGGGATCACGCTGAGTGTTGCTGTTCTGTGTTTGGAGACAGGCTCACTTAAGTTATTTGCAAATGTTCAAAATTGTTTTGCATTTTGAAACTGAGGTAAGGATTGACATTGTTGTTTATCTACCCAAATCGATATTGTAATTTAAATGGCAGTCTACCATGGAACTGGAATTTGAACACACACTAGACTGAACCGGGGTGCCTTACAAATGCATACAAGATTTACATTGTAAAAACTATGATGAATTTTAATATTCTGATATCCTCAGCTTTCCACTTGCTCTTGATTTCATGAATATTTAATTCTGTCATGACTGCATATTTACTACTTTAAATGACTGTGTGCGCTCAGTTTTATGAAATGACCGTAGCTGAGTATCATATCACCGAATTGAACTTTAAGTGTCTTTTGCAGGATAGGTGTGGGGAATAATTAAAATATACAGCCAGTGCTGCTGTTTCCATATTGTTGGTTCATATGCCCTGAGCATGAGAAATTCCTGCCATCAGCAAAAATCTGTGCTTATTTGTTTCCCTTTGATGCACCAGGCAGACTGTCTAATGTTCTACCGGTTGTGAGGAATAAGGAAGGCAATGCACTACAAAATTACAGCAGGTGAAGACAGGCCTGAAAGCGGGTTGATTAGATATTGCTAATTAGCATGTTCAGATAATTGAGTATTCCACTGATGTGATTTGCTTTACGTTTGTCTGCAATTTCTTGAGGTGGAAACAAAATACTACCTTTTTCCCTCCAGGTGTTTGCCTTAAAAAATTGTGTTGCAGGGCGCCTGGGTGGCTCAGTTGGTTAAGCGACTGCCTTCAGCTCAGGTCATGATCCTGGAGTCCTAGGATCGAGTCCCACATCGGGCTCCCGGCTCAGTGGGGAGTCTGCTTCTCCCTCTGACCCTCTCCCCTCTCATGCTCTCTCTCATTCTCTCTCTCTCTCAAATAAATAAATAAAATCTTTAAAAAGAATAAATCGTGTTGCATCCTTCTCTTAAGCCAGAAATCAGCTGTGTTAACCCTTCGTTTACCTCTGGTGCTCTCCTACTGGGTCTTCTGAGTTTGAGGATGGTTGCTGTGTTTCAGACTTTAATAACTCTTTTTGTCTTTGATGGGTACTAAGGCAAGTTATAAATTGATTTTTCACAGCAAATCCTGCTTTCATTAGTGGGAGGGCCTTTGGGTGTCTGACCAAATTATTCTACTAAAATATAAATGGAAGACAAAGTGGGATAAAGTGGAATGTGGTTTTACCAAGCTGTTTGGGGTGAAGTGGGGCTATTATCTTGATAGGATTTAAACACAATAATGTACAAATGTAATGCAGTGAACTATTGTATTTTCTTTTCACTCATAAACATAATGAAATATGAATTTTGAATACTTTATTATTTGTCTTAAATCTTTCTCGGAGCAAGGGTACTGTAAATAGGATGTCAGTGGATAAGGTTCTCCTCCTCACCAAATAAAGTGTCTAGGGAGTAATGGCATTTTTTTTTTTTCAGATTCTGATTTGGGGGCCGTGATTTATTTTCTCATGAATTTACCTCAGTTGTCTTATCGGAAAAGAAATCAGAGCTTAGTGCCAGATCAGCTTGTCTCCTGAATTGCAGGTGCACGGTTATACATCCTCAGAAAGTCTCTGAAATAGGAGGAAAGGTTAGAAAACTGGATCAAAGGATTTTTTTACACCAGAGTTCCATGATGTGACTGGCACTTTCTGTTCCTAGAATAACAATGCCCAATTCCTCTCTACCAACTACTCTTTGGAGAAATGTTAAAGCAGCTACATGCTGCATATGCTTTGATTCCATGAATTGACATAGACCCTAAATCGACCATTTATTCCTCCTCTGTGCTTTCAGGCAGGTTTATATTAAACCTTTACAAAAACCAGTTTCCTCTTCTTGCAATGTCATCCAAAGACAAGGTGGTCCCCCCTTTGGGGACCTACTGAGATATTTCCTCACCCATTATCTCAAGCACTTCTTCCTCGTATCAGAAAAGAGTTTCTCTAAACTGGACAGAACTCTTTTCTTCTGGTCTTGCAGATGCATGGTCATGCCCTTAAGTAAGAGACCTTCCCGTCCTTCAAAGAGTTCTCCACCCTGGATTTGATCATCCTCAAAACTTTCTTGCAGTTCTCTGTAGCCCTTAGATATTCCATTTCTTAGGGCCATTCAAAACTTTTCTGCAATGCTTTGCTTATGCTAAATAACTCTTGGATAAGTATTTCTGAAACTTTCTTTGGAAAAGTTAGTGTTCCTTGTGTTGAGGACCAGCACCCAGTAATTCACTCCATCTGTGATACCTAGTTACTTATACAAATGTGTGAATTCTTCCCCTGATCCCAGATGAGTGATGTAAATGATTCTGTTTTGCTTTAGCTTCATCTCATTCATGTATTCTCCCCTTTTCTTCCCCTCTCTTTCTCTCTCTTTCCCTCCCCACCAAAACACACACACACCCCATTTACCATTTACCGCGAAGCGTATGTTTATGGCCCAGATGTGAGGTATCATGACCAAGCTCTCTTCTTTGTTCAGTTCTCGTTAAAGCCTTGGTTTGCAAAATATGTTCTTGTGGTTTTGGACTAGAGAGACTCTGTGCTGTTGCTACCAATGATACTTCATTGATGAACATGACTCAAGATTCTCATTTCAGCAGTCGTGCTGTCCTAAATCGTCAGTCTTAAAGGAGGTTGCTGTAGGGAATCTCTTACCCAGCCTGTCGGTACATTTTTTAAAACCTTTAATTTTGAAATGACTAAATTTATAGAAGAGTTGCAAACATAAGACAGAGTTCCCATATACCCTTTACCCAGCTTCCTTTAATGTTAACATCCTTCTTAATCATGCTATCGTGTATATCCCAATGAAGAAATTAACTTTGGCACAGTACTATTAGCTCAACTTGTCCAGTCAATGTTTGTTGAATGAATTTGCAAACATATTGATGTTTTTCATTTTCTCCTTCTAGGGTTTAAGACTTTCTTTACATCTGAAAGGTCTTTGAGAGAGTATTTAAGAGCCAGATTTGATTGGGGTTAACTATTCCCCCCGTTTTTCTGGTGGGTAGGAGCAGCTTGCGAAGTACAAAGGTTGAGGTCCCTGGAGCTCTGCATCCTGCTGCAGTGAGTCCTGTGGGAGTTACAACTTTGGCAAAGCTCTTGAGTGCTGTTAACTTATGGGGAGTGATAGTCTTCTTTTTTATTTTACCCTGAAAAACATTCCTGTGCCAGGTAAGATAGGGTTTGTCAGTACACAGAGGACAGCAAAGTCTCAAGTGGCAAGTAGAGGAGAAAAGGCAATTGATAAAATCAAGACAGTTCACTTTGATGCATAACCCCTTGGGTGTTTGTTTCTGGTGTGAAAAATAATGGAAACCCCCTCATGTTTGTATTGTATTAGCCAGGTGAACTCTGATTTCCAGCACAGAAGCAGAAACTTGCCCACATTTGACACGATGTCATTGTGATTAAGAGTGTTGGCTTTCTGATTAAGAGTGAAATCAGAAAGACCTGCATTTGCTCTTGGCTCTGTCTTTCATTGGCTCTTAACTTCAGTAAGATCCTGACCTTTCCAAATCTCAGTATTTTCATCTGTAAAATAGGAATAACAGTTATTATTATATAGCTTGAACGAGATAAAGTATATACAATTTGTAATTCAATGCTTCATAGGTACTGATTGCTCAGTAATTGTTAACAATAATTGTGATCATTATTATTACCTTTGTGATCCAGGGTTCTGAAAAGGATAATGAGCTGGGGCTCCAAGTCACCTAGAATTTCCAGTTTGCCAGAGGTTGTGGGGTTGGAAGTGGTACAGACAGTC